TATATATATATATATATATATATATCTTCGACTCGCCTTCTCAAACTAAATTAAAGGTACGCCAGTATAAATCCGTTATATGACGGACGAAAGCTTAGCATCTTTTCGCCGGAATCGAAGGAGATTGCCTCGGAAACAGCGTCAGCATGAATGTTCCAGTAAGGCCAATCAACAGCTAGTCAAGAGGAATCCGCCGTCGTCTTCTGGTGGAACCGACCTTCGAATCTCTTCCTCCAACATTTTCAGTCGAAATGGAAGCTCAGCAATTATGAAACAAGAGATTCCTTAAAACCCAACTTTTCTTTGCATAAAGCCCGGATTATTTTGAATGTAACATCTGCTTTTTGACCCATTGGTACTCTCAGCGGGCGAAAATGAAGCAAATCGTCACTTTGGGAACACGACCTGGCTTGGTGATGAGATGGCGAGATCGAAAATGCCAACCAGTTGAGATGATAAAACTAGTCGAGGCCAGATTAAATAAGACTCGATGACTTCATTGCCAGTCCTTAAATCACGGTAAGCGAACAAGAATGCCTAAGTCCTTATTAGAATCTTCCAACGACCATGCAGTTAAGTCCGCGCCTCTAGTACTTTATTTCCTCCCCTGCGACAAATGGACCTTTTTAGCCAGACCGAATTAGGATCCACGCCGCTTCACCATGTCGCAACATCGTACTGCTTATTCAACATTGACAAGTTAGGCACAAGGTCCGCTCGTTTCTCCATCGCATCTATGCATACAGATTGCACATACAATTCCGCAATATTACCATCTACATCTTTGCCATTTCTACAGCCTCTATACTAAATTGCTTATACTTCAATCATACTTATTGGTTTCAGGTCGGGTCTGCTGCAGTACCATGCGCCTGGAGGTTGGATCACACAACTTCCTCCGGACCTAACCTGACAAGTTAGCTGCAACTATATCCTGATTTTTAGTGCTCCACAAACGACTGGATTTCGAAGAACTCTGTAGTGATAAATTGTGACATGACTTTGCACTTCAAAGGAGAAGTTGGTTGTAGGGAATTCGTAATGTAGTCTCACCCGAAACCGAAGTAAGATTGCCGCGTATAGAAGACTGTTGTATTGGGCGATGGTAAGTTGTATGAGCAAATACAGGGCTTGGCTATTGGATATGGTTTAGCCTCTATTTTGGCTAATAACTACATATTCGTATTATAATAACTACATAGCCCAATAAGAAGTTCGTGTATTTGAGAGGCGCTCCTAGTTCCCAAATTATTAGTTCGTTGTACGGACGACTACTTTACTGTTTAGCAACATGACAAAGAAGTGTAGAAAAACCGGGTTTCGAAGACGTCTTTAAGAGATCGATGTTGGAGTAAGTTTCATTTCGGTTGAAGAGGCGAGTAGAAGGGATTCGTAAATTGGTCTCACCGAAAGCGGTATTGCGGTTGCCCTGAGGCGGATATTGTAGATTTGCGCGAATAGGTCCTCTGTGCACCACTCTGCGGCCCCGATGAATCCTTGCTGAGCTTTTGACCGTCATTCGATGGACATCGTCAGAGCAGAACGACATGCTTGACGAAAATTGACCAAAACACGAAAGCGATAAAGGTGGCTTGCTTCAAACCTACTTACTTCCTGTAATCTAATTTGGTATACTTAGACATTTCATGTTTGGGTTGGATGTCCTATGCTTTGCCTTAATTCAGGAGGCACTTTTAGCTCCTAAATTATTAATTCGCTATATATACGACTAGTTTCCTGTTTGGCAACATGACAAAGAAAACAAGGAGAAATTTCTTTGGTGTGATAAACAGGATAGATGGTAAGACGAAATTCATCATCAAGTTCGAAAAAGAAGGTAATTAACATTTTATTGATGTCCTAGTTAGTAAAGAGGGGAGCAGATTAGGTAGAGTTGTGTATAGGAAATCCACAAATGTAGGTTTCCTTTAAAATTTCTTATCCAATAACACTTATGGGGAGCCTGCGTGCGGATCCTATGCTAATCATCGTCTATAATAAACACCGGGACCATGAAATGAGAGGAATAAAAAGAATTCTGGTTGATAACAATTATCTACGGGGGCTGATGTTAGAATATTGTCAAATAGGATGAATGGAAATACATATTTGGGGCTAGATAAAAGGTTAGATCCGTCTAACAGAGTTCTTATGTTGCCATTGTGTAATCTGTCGAGGAAGATAGGCGAATTACTGAGGTGGGACATCAGGACTATGTATAAAGAGAAAATAAAACTTTCCTCGATATCGCCTTCTTTTAGATAATATTTTGTCCCTTTCTCCAAATCAGCTTATTAAAAGATTTTGTGTTCATGCGGTAGCGTCTGTGTTAGAGACCTGTACGCCCATACATAATAGGTTATCTGAGAACAGAACAAC